ATTACGATTCGACCATTCAATACCATTCGAGCAAGGCTAACGTGGTGGCAGACGCTTTGAGTCGATAAGCGGTGAGTATGGATAGTTTAGCTTGCTTGAGTGTATCCAAGCGATCCTTAGCTAAGGAAATCCAGACCTTGGAGTATAAATTCATGCAGTTGGGCATCTCTGAAAGAGGTGGGGTGTTAGCTAGCATTGAAGTGAGGGCCACATTCATTGAGGAGATCAAGGCCAAACCATTTAAGGATGAAAATTTGAATGAACTTAAGAAGAAGATTGCGATTGGTAAAGAACAAGAGACCACTCTTGATGCGGAAGGTGTGCTCACTTTTAAAGGAATAATCTGTGTTCCTAGTGTAGATGACTTGATTAAAAATTATTGGCAGAATCTCATGGTTAGCGATATTCTATTCATCCGGGTGTGACCAAGATGTACCAAGATTTGAAGCAAATTTATTGGTGGCCGGGCATGAAGAAGGATATATCGAAGTTTGTGGCTAAGTGTCAGAATTGTCAACAAGTGAAGTATGAACACCAAAGGCCTGCAGGTTTGCTTCAAAGAATGCCAATTCTGAAATGGAAGTGGGAGCGGATAGCCATGGATTTTGTGGTTGGTGTTCCCAAGACTTTGGGGAAGTTTGATTCTATTTGGGTAGTGGTTGATAGATTGACTAAGCTAGCCCATTTTATTCCGGTAAGAATAGATTATAATGTCAAACAATTGGCTAAGCTATATGTGAAAGAGATAGTAAGGTTGCATGGGGTGTCTCTTTCTATCATCTCAGACCGTGGTACCCAATTCACATCCAAGTTTTAGAGGAAGTTACATGATGAATTGGGTACACAATTCACTTTTAGTACAACTTTTCATCCACAGATGGATGGGCAGTCGGAGAGGACTATTCAAGTGTTAGAAGACATGTTGAGGGCATGTGTGATTGATTTTAGAGGGCATTGGGATAAGTTCTTACCTTTGTGTGAATTCTCTTATAATAATAGTTATCACTCCAACATTGATATGAAACCATTTGAGGCACTTTATGGGAGGGGATGTAGATCACCCGTAGGATGGTTCGAGGCAAAAGATGTGAAACCTTTAGGGGTTGATTTAGTGAAGGATGCTTAAGATAAGGAAAGAGATATGGCTTTTCAGACTGGTGAGAATGTTCTTCTTAAGGTATCACTCATGAAAGGGGTGATGAGATTTGGCAAGAAAGGTAAGCTAAGTCTGCGATACATTGGTCCCTTTGAGATTCTTGAATGCGTAGGGCCGATGGTGTATAAATTGGCTTTACCTCCTAATTTATCGGGAGTTCATTCGGTATTTCATGTGTCCATATTGAAGAGGTATCATGGTGACGGGGACTATATCATTAAGTGGGACTCAATTGTGTTAGACAAAGACCTCCAATATGAGGAGAAATCGATTGCAATTCTTGATCGTGATGTGCGTAAGCTGAGGACCAAAGAGATTAAGTCCATGAATGTTCAATGGAAGCATCGTCCAGTTGAGCAAGCTACTTGGAAAACCGAGACGGACATGCGAGACAAGTATCCCCAATTGTTCGTCAATTGAGGTACTACTTCATTCCTTCTTTAGCCTATTTTCCTAAGTTTTTCACTCGGAGACGAGTGATGGGTAAATTGGTATCTATTGTAACGACCGAGTTCCGTCATTATAAAAAAGGCAACGGGGAAAAAATTTGGGCCGAAAAACTTTTTCGTAGTATCTTGAGATTTCCCAACATAGTCCATATTTGGATGAAATTGAAGTCATTAAAGTGTAGAGAAATCTGGTAGCAATTGAGTGATCTAATTAGGATTTAGATTACATGAGTGGTTAGATAAGTCGTTAAGGAATCCGTACGACTTTACAGAATTGAATTCCGGCGAGTAGAACTCCCGAAATTGATCTTAGCGTGAACGGATAGTTTTTGAGTGTCGTTGGTTGAAGGCGTGTTGTGAAATGGGGGTTTTGGAATTCTTTTATTAGCTCACTGTTCCGTGCTAGCCGCTTTGGCGGTAATTTCGGTCGCCAGGGTGGGGCCGCTCTAGCGGGGTGAGCACCGCTGTGGCGGGACAAACGCGACTTAAAGTCGTAAATAAATCCCAAAAATATTTTATTCTGCGAATTTCAAATTTGGGAGCTAAGGAACGAATCCAGGGTTTTTCTTGACAGTTTTCCACCATTCTTGAGGCTAAAGATAAGATTTCACTCCCCGAATCCATTTTTCGATCCGTAGAACATACTCTAATGGGTAATTATCGATGGAGAAAGGTTTTGATTAGTTTATGTCCACATTTCGGACTTAGACTTTCTAGTTAGTTATTAATTCATTAGTTTAGGGTTGTATCCTTTCTTGTTTAGACTTGTTGAACTTTAGATGTTTTGGTACATTGACTTTCAGGTTATAGATGTTTTTCTGCATTGTTTAGTTGTTAGATCTTTTGGAAGTTTATGTGAACTTCAGTCTTTAGCTATTTAACTTGATTCCGTAACTTAAATGCTTTAGTATTTTGGTTGAGTTGCTTGGTTTGGATTGTAGTAGTGGTTCTCCCATCGAAGGGTTAGTGTGGGTTCCAATCACGATGGTTTGGTTCGTGACATGTGTCTAGCAATACTATGACTTGTGTAGAACTCATTGAAATTTGACTCGCAAAACTCCAAACCATTATCAGTGTGGAGTTTTTTTTTTATCTTCCTTCCAGTTTGGTTCTCAACAAGAGCCTTGAAGTTCTTGAACTTAAGAAAAGCTTCATTCTTATGTCTCAAGAAATAAACCCAAACTTTGCGAGAAAAATCATCAGTAATGGTCATCATGTAGCGTTTTCCTCTAAGAGATGGAACCTTTGAAGGCCCCCATAAATCTGAATGAATATAATCAAGAATACCAAGTGTACAATGTGTAGCTGCTGAAAAACTCACTCTCTTTTGTTTTCCGAATATGCAATGTTCATAGAAACCCATTTTTCCTATACCTTGATTAACGAGAAGACCTCTTTTGTTAAGAAGAGTCATACCTGTATCACTCATATGACCCAGACGTATATGCCATAAATGAGTGAGATCGTCATCAGACAATGAAGTGGAAACGGCTATAGACACTGTCACAATTGAGCCCTGCAAGTAATAGAGAGTCCCACGTCTTATTCCTTTCATCAAGACCAGAGCACCTTTTGAAACCTGGAGAACTCCACCTTCAACTAAATATTTACATCCAAAAGATTCAAGAGTACCTCGAGAAATCAAGTTGCGTTTCAGGTAAGGAATATGACGAACATTGGTCAATGTCCTGATAACACCATCATGAGTTTTAATTTGTACAGTACCAATTCCAACAACTTTACATTGGGCATCATTTCCCATTAGAACAATGCCACATTCAGCTTTATCATATATTAAAAACCAGTCCTTATGAGGATACATATGATATGTACATCCAATATCAAAAAATTCATTAAGACGAGTTTCTTTTATCAACAGAGACAACCAACAAAACATCACCTTCGAAATCACTTTCCACAACTCCGGCTTCAGCAACTTTCTGGATCTTTTTGTTATTTTATTCCCTCTCCATTTTATTTTTTAGTTTATAGCAGTTAGAAACATCATGTCCTGGTTTCTTGTAGTAGCGACATGTCTTGCCGAAATTATGCCCTTTGGATGTAGATATGAACTTCTTTTTAGATGTACTCCCTTTGTCTTGTGATCTACCTCTAACGAACAAGCCCTCACCTTTATCTTCAGAATGAACGTCAAGATCAAATTTTTCTTTGGACAACAAATTTGATCTAACATCTTCATAGGATAAAGTTTCATTATTTCCATATAACATAATCTCCTTGAAGTGCTTATAGGTAGATGGGAGAGAGACAATTAACAACGCAACCTTGTCCTTATCCTCAATTTTAACTTCTAAATTTTCCAAATATATTATAATTGAATTGTATGCATCAAGATGAGATTGAATGGATGAACCTTCAGACATACGAAGCGTGTATAAACGCTCTTTGAGGCGGAGTTTATTGGCAAGACTTTTGGTCATATAGAGAGACTCAAGTTTCAACCAAAGACTTGCAGCAGTGTCTCACGAATAACCTCCCGCATAACCTCTTTGGAAAGACTAAGTTGAATTGAAGAAAGTGCCTTTTCATCTAACTCCTCCCATTGTTCGTCGTTCATAAAATTGGGCTTCTTTGACTTTCCTGCTGAAGCCTTCTTCAAACCATTGTGTGTGAGAACAACCTTATTTTGGATATTCCAAATACTAAAGCTAATTTTTCCATCAAATTTCTCGATATCAAACTTGGTTACAATAAACATGATTGAACCTTGCTCTGATACCACTTGTTAGGAAATAAGATGTATAAAAAATAAGACAAATATGAATAATCGAGAAAGGAATTTGGAAACACAATTAATGACACACAATGTAATGTGGAAAACCCAAGTCGAGAAAAAATCACGGGTAATGACGAGCAAATCCACTATGTTGAAGGTAGAGTACAATTCCAAGTTCTCCAGAATTCAAAATGAGGAATAGAAAAAAGACTACTAAATTCTTTTGGTTTTCTGCCACAAAATAGAAAATGCTCAGAAAACATAGGCTCCACTATCTGGCACAAAGAAATAGAAAATGCCCATAAAAATAGGCTCCACTTCCAGTGAAAATTGATGCCTATTTACTGCACCATAATCCCATAATTTTTTCAAATTTTCTGAAATTGTGGAAGTCTCAAGACAAGATGAAACATGCTGACATGATTAGGCAAAATCAGCAGGAAAAAGAATTTGTTGACATTATGAGATTACTTAATCTTCTAATTCACATTTTACTTTGATGTTTAATATTTTTTTTCCTATAATAGAAGTTGGTTGATTTGATCCGAGTACATTCACATTTATAAGTCATTGTACTAGAAAGTTAAAGTAATACTTGCTTCTTGATTTCGCTATTGCTTTTGTGGTATTTTATAGAAGATTTCAAGCTTTGCAAAAGATGGAGTCGAGCATGAAGCACAAGAGAACTGCAGTTGAAGATGAAAAAGAAAAAGAGGTTTGCTGCTTCTAACAATTTGAGATAAAATGTTATTTCGCGTTTGATTACAAGTTTTAGTAAATTCTGAGATAAATTTTATGCTAAAATGGTGGGATTAGCTTTCACAACCAAGAGTTTAGGATTCAACCATAACTGATAACTGATGCTCTACATCCACCTCCAGCGGATTTAGAATTTTTATTGTTCGAGTTGGAATTTTACCATAGTCTTTTTGATTTACTCATATGTATTGTTTGAGAGAAAGCTACAATGGTGTGATCTAAATCCCATGAACACACACCCCACTTCAAGTGCGCCTATGTATTAACTAAATCACTCTTTTTGTCTAGTCGGTGGAACCGGTGAATTATGCGAGTTGGTTAGAGGTATGGGGTATAGGGCTCATAGTATCCCTTTTGATTGATCTAGCCTTTTGTTCTCTTCTGGAGTGAATCCCCTACTAACATAGGCAGGCTTTGAGACTTACAAATGTGAGTTGTGGACTAGGTACGACAACATTGTACAGCTGAGTGGCAGAGCATTTTGAACTTTCTTAGGGAAGATAAAATTGAATTGTTGACGATATGATTTTTACCTTAAGATTTTGCATTCTCCGACATTTTTCGTCTGTGCTTTTGAATGTTTTCGTTTGCTGGTGCTTATGATTGTTAACTTAACACAAATTAATTACCGTTCTTGTTTTGTTTATGCTCTTGCAGATGACTATAGACGTGAAGGTCACTAAAATAGTCACTATAAAAACTAAGGAATCAGATAGTATTGGACACGTGAAATCTTTATTACATGATAAGGAGGGCATACCAGAATGTCTTGAACAACTATTTTCAAAAGGTGTTCGCCTAGCAGATGATGGACATAAGCTAATGGATTGTGGCATTATTGAAAGCTCCACCCTTAATGCTTATATCTACAATTCAGCCCCTAAGGTATTTTTGGTGAAGAGACCCTATGCTACTGTTGCAATTACGGTTTATTCAAGGAATTTCGATACTATCCAGGATGTCAAATGTAGGGTTGGGGTCAAAGAAGAAGTAAACCCAAATAAATTTTCTCTTATTCATGATGGAAAGTTTCTTGAAGATGATAGAACCTTAGATTTTTACAAAATCGATGTTGGATCAACACTTCATATGGTTTCCAATGCTGGAGACACGTTTCTTATTTCTGTGGTAATGCCAACAGAGGAAATAGTTAAAATAGAAGTCATGGCTTCCTTAACTATTCGCGACATTAAAACAATTATAGAAAGCAGAATTGGCTACTCGATAAATTTTATGGATCTATTTCTTGGGAAACAAAAATTGGAAGATTCGAAGATATTGTATCAGTGTGATATCAACGAACATTCCGTCTTAAGGGTGAAGAGTAGAACAATACAGATCCTAATCAAGATGAGTGGTGGAAGTATTACTCTAGATGTGCACATGCATGAGTTGGTCAAGGATGTGAAGGGCATACTTCTACAAAAGCTTCACATACTTGTTCATTTGCAAAAACTTGTGTTTGAGGGAAAAAGTCTAGCTGATACCCAGGATTTAGTGAGCTACAATATCAGAATGCACTCTAATATTGTTTTTGATTTTCGTAGTTCAATTTCTAAGACAATTATCTGATATAATAAGTTACCAACAAATAAATTTATGTAAGATTAAAGATGTGGTTTCCATAGTTCATTTTACTGTTACCTGTTTTTTTTTATTGTACTAAGCATTTATCATACATTATTTCTTGTCGATATTGTTTATTTCTTCTTCTTTTTTTCTTGTTGAGCCAAGGATCTTTCAAAAATAATTTTTCTACCTTCACAAGTTCGAGTTAAGGTCCTCCACATACTATTTTTCTTTATATCCATGGTGTTCAGGCTAGTTTGCTAGCTTCTTATACAAAAGTCGAAGCCAAAGTTATTAGGTATAGATTCGGATGAATTTATAACCGATGCTCTACATCCACATTTGGCGGATTTGAAGATATGAGTTTGAGTTTGGAATTCTATCATAGTCCTTTTCATTTACTCATGTGAAGGGTTTGAGTGAAAGCTATTTGTCACGACCCAGACCGTCGTGAGTGACACTTACACTAACCCTCCGGTGGGAAAACCATTACCACAACCCAAACTAACAAACTCAACCAAAATTAAGTCATTTAAAGTTACTGAAGCAGGTTTAAATGCTAAGGAAAAGAAATAGGGAGTTCCCATAAACTCCAAACAAAAGTCTAATAAAAACAAATGCAAAATAATACCTAGAACCTGAAAGTCAATGTACCAAAACATCTAAAGTTCAACAAGTCTAAGAATATGGGTACAACCCAATTAAACATAAGAAATCCTAATGCACTAGTCTAAGTCCAAAATTAGGACATAAACGAAAGGGAACTCATGGCAGCCCGAAAAAAATGGCTCACCCTTGAATTCGATGACGATCACTGATCTTCTAAGCGAGGTCTGTCAATACCCGCCGGAAGATTCCCTGTACTCAACAAGGAAAGAGCAAGTGCAGTATAAATACACAACCACAGTGTACTGGTAAGATCATGCAGCTATCCCACTAAGTGCAACATACATAAGCCATTACAACATAATAATAACATGCATACACCGAACTTATACAATATCAATATCATTTACGAATAACGTACAATTCACAATTCTCAAGATATACAGTTATGTCAAGTCATTGGTCCTCTCATGGAACCCATACCTAAACTGTTTATGTACCGGTATGTGGTACCCGTTCCAAGTTAGCGTGTCGGATCGTGACACCCGTTCCAATATTTATGCCGGTACGTGGCAACCGATCCCAGTTACTGTGTTGGAACGCAATACCCGATCCATTCAACAAGCCATAATTATAATCACAATCACAATCACAAGCATATTCTCATAATCATACAATCAAGTCATGAATCAGGGCATTCAATCATTCAACTATCATCATTTACGATTTGTGTGATCAATAATGCAACATTCACATACATACATGCATCATAATGAAGCAAGAACAAACATAAATCACACAACATGAAATCACAACCATCACTTGCCTCGAACAAAGCTTGAATCCCTTAAGAAACTTGATTCTTCCCTTTTCGGATTCTTTCCACTTATTCTTGATCTACAAACAATCATAATAATTCGAGGATCAATAAACAAGTCCCAATTACCCGGATTCTAATCAATAATATCAACCCTAGATTAAACCTTTGATCCCCATACCCAGATTAGGGCTTTTTCCACCATAATTTCTAGATCAAAACCCTCCCCCATCCATGATTACCCACAAGTTTACATTCTACGGATCGAAGAATGGATTCGGGGAGTTAAAACCTTACCTTTAGCCTTAAGAATGGTGAAAAATAGCCAAGAACTCGCCTGGGGTCGTTTCCTAGCTTAGAAAGTCAAAAAGTGCAGAATAAAATGATTTTGGGGTTTATTTCCGACTTAAATCGCAACTGTCCCGCTACAATGGTCCTCACCCCGCTACATCGACCTCGCCCTAGCGGGAATAATTCTGCCACAACGGCTTGCACGAAAACAATGAGCAATTTTAAGAATTCCAATCCCCCATTTCACAACACACCTTCATCCCATGGCACTCAAAACATACCCATTCACACTAAGATCAGTTTCAGGAGTTCTACTTGCCTGAATTAAATTCTGTAAAGTCGTACATGTTCCTTAATATCTTAGCTATCTAATCGTGTGATAAAATCCATAGCTCTCCTTTCCCACTTCCATTCTGGAATTTGCATTCTCTGAAGCAACCTACAGGCCTTTGATGTTCATACTTTACTTGTTGGTAATTTTGACACTTTACCACAAACCCAGCTATGTCTTTCTTCATGCCAGGCCACCAATAAATTCACTTCAAATCTCGGTACATCTTGGTCACACCCGGATGAATGGAATATCGTAAACCATGGGATTCTGTTAACAATTTCTGAATCAAGTCATCGACTCGAGGAACACAAATCCTTCATATAAAACTAAGCACACCTTCTGCATCAAGAGTGGTCTCTTGTGCCTTACCAATCACAGTTTTCTTTCTAAGCTCATTCAAATTTTCATCGTCAAACTGTTTGGCTTTGATCTCCTCAATGAACGTGGCCCTAACCTCAATGCTAGCTAACATCTCACCTCTTTCTGAGATTCCCAACTGCATGAATTTAGACTTAAAGACATGTGTTTCCTTAGCCAAAGGTTGCTTAGTTACACTCAAATAAGCTAAACTACCCATACTCACCGCTTTTTGACTCTAAATGTCTGCCACTACATTAGCCTTGCCCAGATGGTATTGAATAGTCACATCATAATACTTAAGTAACTCCATCCACCTTCTCTATCTCAAATTCAAATCCTTTTGAGTGAATACGTGTTGTAGACTGCGATGATCGGTAAACACCTCACACTTGACACCATAAAGATAATGCTGCCAGATCTTAAAAGCAAATACTTCCGCTACCAACTCCAAATCATGTGTTGGATAATTCCTCTCTTGCACCTTTAACTGTTGCGATGCATAAGCTATAACATTCTTATCTTACATCAACACCGCACCCAAACTAGAATGTGAAGCATCACAATAAACAATAAAATCTTTACCTTCAACGGGTAGTGCTAGAATAGGTGCGGTGGTCAAAAGAGTCACGAACTTTTGAAAGCTCTCCTTGCATTTTTCAGTCCATTCAAATGGTATCTTCTTTTTGGTCAAATTTGTCAAGTGTGTGGCAATAGACGCAAAGTTCTTCACAAATCGATGATAGTTGCTAGCGAGCCCCACAAAACTCCTAACTTCAGTCACTAAGCGCCGTCTTGGGCACATCCTCAGGCCTAATTCTTTAACTGATGGTAACCAGACCTTAGATAAATCTTAGAGAAAACTGATGCACCTTGCAATTGGTCAAAAAGATCATTATCCTCGACAATATGTACTTGTTTCGAATGGTGACCCTATTCAATTGTCGGTAATCTATACACATCCTCATACTACCATCCTTTTTTTTAACAAACAAAGAGGAGCACCCCACAGGGAAGCACTGCAACGAATGAATCCTTTATCAAGAAGTTCTTGGATTTGAGCGTTAAGCTCTCTTAATTCTGTCGGAGCCATGTGATATGGAGGGATATAAATAGGGCGGGTACCAGGTTCCAAATCAATGCATAAATCTATATCTCTATCCAACGGCATACTAGACAAATCTGTATGAAACACTTCTCTAAATTCTGACACCACAGGGATGGACTTAATAAATGGAGACTCAACCTCAACATCCCAAATATGAGCCAAATAAGCCAAACAACTCTACCCTACCAATTTCCTAGCCCGAATGAAGGATATGATCTTAGCTTGCTTAGGCTTGTACACCCCTTCCTACTATAACTTTTCCCTTCCTGGAATTTCTAGAGTGACATACTTAGTATTACAATTAAGTACATCATAATAGTGGACAACCAAGTCATGCCTAAGATTATTTCAAAGTCAGTCATATCCAAAATCACCAAATCAACCCAAGTTTGGAAACCCATAAACAAAATAGGACAAACACAACAGACATGGGTGAATATGACAGACTCTCCAATTGGGTACAAACATGGATGGGGGCATTAAGTATATCACAAATCAAAACAAATTCTGAGGTAAATTTCACAAAGACATAAGAATAAGTAGAACCCGAATCAAATAACACATTAGCCATCCGGTCACAGACAAGAATAGTACCTGTGATCACTGCGTCAGACGCCTCCGCCTCGATCTTGCCTGGAAAGGCATAACACTGAGCCTTGTCATTTTTACGGGCGACTTCCCTCCCTGCCTGCACTGCACCTCCGCCTGCGTTACCATTTCCGCTACCTCCGCGGCCTAGCTGATTTCCTCTTCGCCCACCTTGTGGACACCCTCGACCATTATTACCATTTCCCGCGAGTATCACTACTCTAGACTGCTACTACATAGAATCCAACATGCACGGGTGGGGACAATCTCTCCTCATATGCCCAGGTTCTCCACAATTGTAACAAGTACGATCAAAAGATGGCCTGCTGACCACCGAAGGTGCGACTCCCTGGTTATCCTGAATTAAATTCTGAGGTGGAGTTCTGGAGTAATTACCTGTAGAAGCGGACATATTGAACTGAATTGGTCGGGCTGCAAGAGTTGGCCTTCCCGAACCTCTAGAGTAAGAACCATGAAAGTTGCCTGAATTCTTGGCTTTCTTAGCCAATGCCTTAGTCTGACTGTCTTGCTTCACCGCCTCCACTTTCTTCACAAAATCTGTTACCTCATGGAAGCTTTTTCCCACAGAGGTCATGTGAACAGACAATACCTGTAACTCAAAGTTTAGTCCCTTAACAAATAGTTGGATCCTCTCTTCCTCAGTAGTCACCAATGGCGTTGCATATCTAGACAAAGTATGGAGCTTGGCCTCATAAGCTACCACAAGCATACCACTTTGCTCAAATCCATGAACTTATCCTTCTTACGATCTGTCAAGGTCCGATGCACATATTTCTCCAAAAACAGAGCATGAAATTGGGTCCAAGTAAGTGGGGGTAAAGCTGAAGATCTGCAATCCACATAAGCTCTCCACTACTTCTTAGCCTCACCTAGAAGCTGAA